AGGTGACTTATGTGGTGAGCTCAAATTTGGGGCATGTCAATACCCCGCAGCGTTGCCAACTCGAAAATAAAAATCCTGCAACAGCCGTCCCGAAAAACCACTAAATTTTGCGACACGAGGCAAGGATGACTTTTTAATCCAATTTAGCACTATAATTAGTCTACAAACAGTATAATAAATAAAATAACTCTCAGATGGAAGCTCTCCGTTTTGACTCGGACCTCGTTTACTCACAGAATGTTCACTGCTACAGCTTGATGTTACCGGACGTGTTGCCACACCTAGAGCTGCTAAATAAGCTAAGCTTCAGAGTTACAATGCTTCGGCCATCAGATGGATGGACGGATAGATGCCAACGGCTGTACCCCTTATAATGAGCAGTAGCTTGCGCCACCTAGCCTTGATGCTTAAACAGTCATGGAAGCAGCATTTGCAGTGATGCAAGACTATTGATAGTACTATCGATTATATCGATAGTCGACTACCGAAAAACTTTCGATTGTACTATCGATAGTTGACTATCAAAAATCTATGGATAGTACGATCGATAGTCGACTATCGGAAAATTATCGCTAATCGACTATCAGAAAACTATCGATAGTCGACTATTGTAAACCTATCGATAGCACCATTGACAGTTTACTATCGATAGTTTTGCGATACTAGTAGTTTACGTCCCTCTCTCTTCTCTTTTTCTCGCTTTTTTTTTTTTTTTTTCAAATGGGACACCAACTAGGCCAAGCACTTACCATCCCAACTTTGATTCAGCTTTCAGTGCTGACGAAGATGGGAGTTTGGGCGAAGAGAGGAGGAAGGGAGGCGAGCGGCAGTTCAGGAACTGTGTTCGCTCCAGTAGTGCAAAACTATCGATTGTACATTGGACAGTATTGATAGTCGCCGGAATCTGACTATTGATAGTAAAAGAACTATCAATAGTACTATCAATAGCCGACTATCGATAGTACAGTTATAATAACTATAACGAGTTTGTTATAACGAGTTATAACAAACTCGTTATAACAAAATGGGATATAACAAACTAATGGATATAAAAAAGCAATCATAATTCCCCTTGTTTGCTAAAAGTGGGAAGAAATGGACAGTGGCTATAACAAACTAATGGTTATAACGAAATAATTATGACCGCTCCTTCAGCTTCGTTATAACGAGGTTTTACTGTACTATCCATAGTCGAGTGTAGAAAAACTAACGATAGTTCTGCGACACTATCGATAGTTTTGGAAAAACTATTGATAGCATCGATAGTTAATTTATCGATAGCTTTGCATCACTAGGCATTTGACCTTTTGTAACAGATTCCGTAGCAGGCAAAATATTGGTTTGGAGCAGCCACTGACGCTTTTGGAGCAGATGCCGACATCTGTTAGCACATCACTTGAGAATGAAAATGTGATTGCATGTCTAAATGAGTTCATTTATGATAGTGATCGAGGGGTCTTCTTTGATACTCAGCATATGACTTATTTCCGCTTGTGATAACAATCGATAAGGCGTAAAAGGAACAGTTTTCTTTAATAGAGCTGTAGTCAGAGCAGGTTTCATTTACAATGGGTATTAAAAGATGGTTGAAAAGTGTATCATAGTGCAACATTTCACTGGGATAAATACTCTATCCCCTCTCCATTTTACACTCAGTAGTTTGTTTAGTCCGTAAATATACATTTTGTAAAATGCCAGCAAAAACCAGCATATCTGCTAACGCGCCCACCAATAAAAATGCGTCCCGTAGGTTTAATGAACCTATCAAGTTCGAGACTCTAATATCATAAACTGCAAAAACAACCACCCGAAACTATAAAAGCCTACACTCAATCTTTAAAGGTGACACTGCTCTTTAGCAGCATAGGAACCAGAGTTACGTCACAGTTCGCTGCTCTTTCGATCAAGAACTGCACCATAACTACCATATTTATTCAAATATATGTAGAGTCGTGTTTCGTTTTATTTCTCTCTCTCTCTTTTAATGCTCAATTTTTTTTTTTATATATTTAGAGGTCAACTTACGTTTAGAACAAAGAAGGGCGACCCGTAATAATCCTGAGCATAATTTGCATGCCTATCGCACTAAGCCAGGCGCTCCCCCAGATCAGTCTCTGCACCTAGCACTCCGGTGCAAAGCGGTGAAGCTCGACGCATGCATGCTGGTGAAAGGTGAAAGTTGACGCAAGTGGCGCAAGTGCCACGGCGCTTTGCAGCCACGGAACGAAAGCATATGGCAGATACAATAATCGAGTGATCTTATCAGGAGTACAAGACGCTGGTTCTGTTTTATCACAGTACCCGCAACCAGCAATCCTACTGCTTTACTAAGTTTTCTCGAGAATCTTAGTTCTTGAGATAGACATCGACTTCAGCACAGGTGTGGCGTAATTCTTAGCAAAAATTACATTTTGGAGCAAATGGTGCAGCACTTCCCTCAGTGCTTAAAACTGCCGTTGCCAGATATCTGAAGCTTTGTCTGAAATCGTAGAAAACGCCTTTCTGTCCTCCAGGAACGTTAGAGCAGTCCGCAACAGAGGAAAACGAAATCGCCCGAGCTTCTAGGCAGCGTGTCTGAAGTTCACGAAGTCGCATTTTAGAATTGTAACCGTGGTCGATTGATTTCGCCCGCTCTAAACTAAAGACCGAAATGGCGGCACCCACAAGATCGGGGAATGCAGCGCCAATACTCCAAGCGTAAATATCCCCTTTAGCCTTATCCACCGACATGCACTTCCATCGTTCCCCCTTTTTCTGTGACGTGTGGTGGCAGCTCAAACGTGCAGCAACCAAATTCGCACGCTTTGCAGAAAGCCCTGCTTTGCAGTGGCGGTACCTGACTCATCCAACGTTGCTCACAACTTTTGATAACCAGTCTTAAAGAAATTTGGGAGCCTACATTCGCTTTTTGTCTTATATCTGCACATAACTCACTGGGCCCATTTCATCTGGCAGATTTGGAACATGCATTCATTCATCCATGCACAAATCGTTCCAATGTTTGTCTCCGCAATATCTCTGTAGCATGACAAATATTACTATCACTGACTATCACTGACCACAATTTTGCTCGGAGTAAGTAAAGATGATAACCCTACAGGACTCTAGCTTACCCCTGACCTTAAGCTATTTATTATGATTCCTAAGTAGAAACTATAGAACATATAACCTCCCGGAGAAAGTTCCCATGTGAGCTAAAACTGCCAAAAAAAAACAACCATCTGCAAAAGAGCAATTTCTTCCAAAAGAACAACACTAAAAACCACTGAACTCTTACAAAAAAACCACTAAAGGGCAGCTCCGCCTCCGCTCAATTCCAAAGATTTTGAGATAATGCGTGATTTCGCATTAAAAAGCACTAGTAAAAGACACTACGTCATTGGCTTCGCGAAAAATGGGACCTATATTGTTAAGTCTAATTTTAAACACGGGCAGAAATAGAAACCGGAACTTGGACTTGAACCGGCAACATTGGCCTCGGGCCGCCATGAACATGGCTATCACGGGGTATGAGATGTTACGCGATTTTCTACGTAAGGACGGGCAGGATTGGGGTGGTGTGTACCAGGCGCAAGTGTCGTCTGCACCGCACTCTTCATCACATTTTGGTGTTTATGAGTATAAGCATAAGTCTGTGCAAGTAGTGTCCGTAGTGTGAACGAAACTCCGAGACAATAATCACGAACGGTGAGACGACGACGCAGTTGTGACGCAGGAGACGGCAGTAACTGCGGGACAACGGCGAGATGGCCAGATGGCTCTCAAGAAGCGCGCTGCGTAGGTGCGTTATGCCAATCACGTGGACACTGCTGAGCACCGAGAGGAAACATTGCTGACGATACCAGTTGCGGTTGTCCGGAGGAGTAAAAACAAGCAAAAAGGGTGAAGATGTTTATCTCAATGTTGGCTACTCCAATGCCATAGCCATGACTTCGCTGTTGGTTGCACCTCCATTCGCCTAATTCAGTGAGCCGATTTCGGCAACTTGACGAGTTGCTAAGTTTGCCAGATCGTTAAACATTTAGACAGAACAAGGTCGTAATATTTTACGTGGTCTTTCTAGGCGATAATGAAGACTGCATTGTTGTTTTTTTTCAAAAACAAAATGAAGTGGACTTGCCTTTCAAGGGAGGACACTACCCAAAAGAGTCAACTTTTGAACCTTTGGCTTAATATGAATGAAATTGACAGTATACACTGGCAGTTATGAGACAGAAAGCAGTGCAAAGTTTTATCAGTGTACATGAATTGTGAAATAAATTAGTCGTTTTTATCAGGAACACACTGACATTGATTAAGAAAACCATCGTTGGAAAACTAATGAAATACCCAAGATTTTTTTTTCTTTAGATATGAAGCAGAATGCCTGAAAGTGCAACTGTGAAAAAAAAAAGTAATTTATTTTATGATCACATTGAACTGAAAAATCAAATTTATTTTCTGCCTTTTATGTCAACAATATTTTAACATTTTTTATAAAAGACATCCACAAAGTAAAAAAACAAAGCCACAGTTGCATTGCCCATTAAATTGCAGTTAGGAAAAATAATCAGTGAGCCTTCACTTTTGTCCCATTACCAAACAATAGTTTTCCTAAAGTGAAATTTAAGTTAAAAAGTGGAAGGGAGAAAAACAAGTTCAAAGTGCTAGGAACTTCTACCTCCTTTTTTATATCACTGGACTAAACATAATTTATAAAATAATAACTATGGAGTGCAAACAAATGAAACTTTCTGAGAATACTCTTTAGATGTTGGTGGATGTATGGCATTTTTCAAAATAAACTTGATCTGTAGAATGCTTCTTTTTTTTTTGGGGGGGGGGGGGGGGGGGTTGTGGCAGCATTGACGGTCTTAATAAAATGTGAAAAACCGCCGATGCAGCGTTCACGCTAAATGTTATCGGCCGACTGTCTCATGCAGTGTAACAACCAGCCACTTGGTGACAAAGTTCACAAACAAGGCGTCCAACCTGGGCTGGAACAAAGGCTGCACACTGACCTGTTGGCCGCTGCCCTTTTCTAACCGGTCCATCATCTCTTCAAACTGATTGTGGTGAATTTCCATCTTCTTCGCTTGCTGGTTGAGCCACTTTTCGTCCTCGGAGTCCATATCGTAGTCGGGGATGTCCTGATCCATCGCAAAGGCTGCAGAGACAAAATAAAACAAAGGCCTGAATCAGACTAAACAAATTGCACATACTGGTGCTACTAAGGTGCCTGCAGATGCTCCATTAAGTCAACAAAGAAATCACCTTCATTTACACCATTGCCAGAGTTGACCTGTAAACGAAGAGACAGCTGCTGGCTAACCGAGAGTGGCAGCTCACCTTTCTACTTGTCAGCTGACACATAATTAATTAAAAAAAAAAAAATACTATTCGCAACCCTTGTATACGTGGTATTCACCAAGCCTGCAGGTTCAATTTTGCCAGAAAGTGCCACCGTCAAGCCACCATCTTAAAGGTTGCGTTTTCAGTTTTTCTTATTTGGCTGGTGAAGCCTGATGGCTCGACACCGTGGTCGGCTGTGTATTAAAGCAATTGCTACAGCTAAAAACGTTTCGTTGATCATAAAAAAGAAAAAAAGAAAAACCTATTGCGGCTTTTTTTTTTTTGCTGCCACTGCAGGAGTTATTAGCACCGCATATTCATTTGAGGGATGGTGAACTGCGTTGTTGGCGGTGTTCTAACCGCTCGCAAAAAAAGCCTACCAATGAAAACTTCACGAAGGTGGCCTTTTTCCTCATCTCAAAAGTGAACACTTGCCAGTGTGAGAACACAGCGACATTAACTTCCAAGAGAAGGGCCTAGTGGTTGTTCCACCGAAACCGGCGCACGGTTATCATCAAGTGTGCTGCTCATTCCACGGGGATCACTCCGTGCCTTGTCAGAAGGCTTGTTACATAAATGAGGTAATTCTTAATATTGGTAACTCTACAAGCAGAAACAGTCTGCCCTTACGCACCATCTCACTGCCTCACAAGGCGATGAGGTCAATGCTGCAGCACCTTGTACAAATAACAATCTTTTTTGCACCAGGAAATCACTTAGCCACATTAATCATTATCTAGGTCATAGAAGTGGCATTTGACCTTTTTGTAACAGCTTCTGGGGAGGGCAAAATATTCCTTTGGAGCACCCACTGATGCTTTTGAAGCAGATGCCATTAGCTGTTAGCACATCGCTTGAAAATGAAAAAGCGATTGCATCACTAAATGAACTCATCTTTGATAATGACTGAGGGTTCCTCTTTGATACTGGAACTTATTAATTATTACCTAATGTAATAGGAATAGATAGAGCGCAAAAGGAAAACAGAGCTTTCTTTATAGAGATAGAAATAAGGCTCTGGTCAGAATAGCTTCCATTTACAATAGGCACTAAAAATGCATTAAAAATGAGTCATAGCACTACGCTTCGGTTGGGATAAAGCTTTTCTCTCTCTTTCCCCCCCCCCCCCCCCCCCCCCCCCGCCCCCCCCCCCTACTTCTACACCTAATAGTTTATTTGGTTTGTGAATATAATTTCTGGGTGATTACAGATAAGATCAACCAAAGGGTGGCTGGTCAACATTTTTAAATCAACTAATGTTTTTGTATGCCATTGTCTGGTGTCTGATATAAACAAACCCACACTTAGTTTTGACCAGAAAAAAAAATTAGGGGACAGGAAAAGTAAGCATGAAGGGGTGGACAGTTGCATTAATGTGCACTGATGGAGGGGGCACGTTTTGAAGTGAATAACTAAAACGATAAAATTTGGAAAATTCTAATACTTTTTAGAAACAAAGCATGGGGAAAGATTGCTTGTCATGTATAGTAATAATATTTATTTACATTATATTTCTTTTTTTAAAAATTGCAAAACATGCCTGGTTGAACGACAAAAAGCAAAATTCGGAGGCCTGTATTTCATTAAATAATTTAATCACCATCATATACTTTTCAAACAGTATTCTACTTATATATGGCTATTACTTAACATATATATTAGATATCTCAGTGATACGGTAGTCGTGATATATTTAGGGAAACATAGGTAAAAATTCAAACAACGAAAAATTTCGATGCAAACTAAAAAAGAAACACCACATTAAATTTGGGTATACTGTCATACTCTATTTCGGCGTTCATTTCTATTAAAAACATGTTGCATTATATGATTGAGAAAGAATACGCAACTCCCCAAAGCAGGGTCCTTTTTCAAAGTCTACACCTAGCACTGCTCTATACGAGAAGTGATTCTGAGTTCCACTTTCATGAAACTAACACAGATCTTTTATATATTTTTATTCAGATGAGGTTATGGTGACACAGACAGATGCACTAGGCTCGCAATGCTGGCTATCACGAGCGCCAGCCTCTGCCAGCGCTCGTGGCTTGGGAGCCAGGGAAATAAAGTAAATGAAGTTGACTCTAACCAAAGCTCTGGTTCGGACGCCTGCATTTTTCCTCCGGCGTTTATAGAACACCGCCGACAAACTGGTGACTCCGGACGTCGACAAAGATGAAGCAGAGTGCTGCTGGCACCTCTTCCAACGGTGACAGAGCTTTCTCCACCGCCCACCTCCGCTTTCCAGCCTTCTGGGCGAAAAACCCTCGGGCCTGATTTTCCCAAGTGGAAGCACAGTTCCACCTGCGGTGCATCACAAGCCAGACCACCCGCTACTACCATGTGGTTTCCACTCTTCCCCCAGAGGTGGCTGATGAGCTGGACGACGTACTGGCGTCTCCCCCTCTTGACGACGCCTACAACTACATCAAGCGGACAATCCTCGCTAGGAAGACGAAGTCAGAGGCTTCAAGGCTACAGCGGCTCCTGAACACAGAGGAGCTCGGCAACTGTCGACCCTCTCAGCTACTTCACGGCATGCGCCAGTTGTTAGGTGAGCAAGCTTCGAACGCGAACAATCTGATTTTACGGGAATTGTTTCTCCAGCGCTTGCCACAAGGCATTCGCATGACGCTTGCACCAGCCACCGATCTTCCACTAGATCGCCTTGCCGAGATGGCTGACTACGTCGCGAAGTATGCTGCGCCTGCACTGTCAAGCGTCACGGATAACTCTCATCAGTGTTCCGACATGCAAGCCCTTCAAGCCCGCATCGACGCCCTCACAACAGCCGTCGCAGCACTCAGCACAGAGAGATATGACTCGCGACGTCGTCGGAGAAGTAGATCCTTTCGATGTCGCAGTCCTTCACAACGACGGACAGATGTTCTCTGCTGGTACCACCAGAAATTCGGTAGCGACGCACGTAAGTGCCAACAGCCATGCGAATGGCAGGCAAACGCTCAGGCCCATCACTAGAGGCGGCAAGTGACGTCGACCCAACAACAAGCCGTCTGTTTTTCGTCACTGACCGAATAACGGGCCGCCATTTCCTGGTCGGCACAGGAGCTCAAATGTGTGCAATTCCATTTACACATGCAGAGAGGCGACGTCCATTGCCCGGTTCGCATCTCGTCGCGGCAAATGGATCAAACATTCCAACATATGGCAGACAATCTCTGACCCTGGACTTAGGGCTTCGTAAGACCTTTCGATGGATTTTCATCATTGCCGACGTGACCTACCCCATCTTAGGCTCAGATTTTCTTTCACACTTCGATGTGGATGTCAGCATGCATCATGAACGCCTTATTGACAGGAACACTCATCTCGCTGTTAATGGCGTGTCCACAACTCTACCTCCCCTTTGCATCCGGAACATCCTGCCTCCTTCGAGATTCTCAGATATTCTTAAAGAATTTCCTGAAATCACGAAGTCGTCCAACATGGCACAGCCGCCACCGCATACAGTGACACACCACCATCGTCACCTCCAGCCCTCCCGTTTTTGCTCACCTTTGTCGTCCGTCTGGCGAAAGCCTGCAAGTAGCACGGCGAGAGTTCGAGCATATGCTAGAACTAGGCATAACTCGACCATCCAACAGCTCTTGGGCATCACCACTCCACATGGTTCTTAAGTAAGACCCAGGGGACTGGAGCCTGTGTGGTGATTACAGGGCGCTAAACACCCATACACAACCTGATCACTACCCACTAACTCACATACACAACTTCGCCGAACACCTGACAGGAACCTCTATATTTCGCAAAATCAACATAGCGAAGGCGTTTCACCACATCCCAATCGAGCCTGCAGATATTCCGAAGACAGCCATCACAACAGCATTTGGCCTCTTCGAGTATGTTCGTATGCCTTTTGGATTGAGAAACGCCACGCAAACCTTTAAGATTTATCCACGAAGTTCTTCATAGACTGCCTTTTGTAGTTGCTTACGTGGATGACTTGCTGATCGCGAGCACATCCCACAAGGAGCACAGAACACATCTGCGCCTGCTCTTCGAACGCCTTCGCGATTACGGGCTTGCAATCAATGTGGCGAAGTGTACCTTTGGTATTACAGCACTGGAATTTTTAGGGCACCGCATCGCTCCCCGATGACGTCGAACCTCTTCAATCTAAGGTGGAAGCCATACGAGACTTCCCACAACCCAAATCTTTAGTAAGCTGCAGGAATTTCTGGCCCTCATTAATTTTCCTCGGCGTTTCATCCCACATTGTGCACAAATCATTCAGCCTCTCACAGACTTGCTCCGAGCTGTGAGCAAACCCTTGCTGATGCCACACTACTTGTGCACGCGTCCGATGTTGCTGTCGGCGCTGTCTTGCAGCAGTACGGCAAAAATGGGTGGAATTCGCTTGGATTTTTCTCACAGAAGCTCAAACCCGTGGAAACACGCTACAGCACGTTTGGAAGCGAGCTCTTTGCAATTTAAGCGACCGTTTGGCACTTCCGGTACTTTTTGGAAGGCAGAGTTTTCCACGTGCTAACTGACCGTAAGCCCCTGATTTACGCATTCGCAGGAAATCACAATTCCTACTCCACCAGAGAAATTCGACACCTCTCGTACATTTCCGAATATACCACTGATCTACGCCATGTCGCCGGAACGGACAACATGCCAGCAGACGCACTCTCACGCATTGATGGTGTTTCAGCACCTCCTGTTGTCAGTTTTTCGGAACTGGCCTCCGCACAATAGGAAGACTCGGAGCAGCAAAAGCTACAAGCGTCCTCTACATCTCTGCAGCTTCAACTCGTCACACTGCCACTCGCCAACTGCGAGCTTGTCTGC